TTGTGTTGTGTTTGGTGCCGTCAGCTGTTGTTGTTGTGTTGGTGTGGTGCCGTGCCGTCAGCTGTTGTTGTGGTGTTGGTGCCGTCAGCTGTTGTTGTGGTGTTGGTGCCGTCAGCTTGTGTGTGGTGTTGGTGCCGTCAGCTGTTGTTGTTGTTGTGTGTGTTGGTGCCGTCAGCTGTTGTTGTGGTGTTGGTGCCGTCAGCTGTTGTTGTGGTGTTGGTGCCGTCAGCTGTTGTTGTTGTTGGTGTGGTGTTGGTGCCGTCAGCTGTTGTTGTGGTGTTGTTGCCGTCAGCTGTTGTTGTGGTGTTGGTGCCGTCAGCTGTTGTTGTGCTGGTGTGGTTGTGGTGTTGCTGTTGTTGTGGTGTTGGTGCCGTCAGCTGTTGTTGTGGTGTTGTTCAGTTGTTGTTGTGGTGTTGGTGCCGTCAGCTGTTGTTGTGGTGTTGGTGCCGTCAGCTGTTGTTGTGGTTGTTGGTGCCGTCAGCTGTTGTTGTGGTGTTGTTGGTGCCGTCAGCTGTTGTTGTGGTGTTGGTGCCGTCAGCTGTTGTTGTGGTGTTGGTGCCGTCAGCTGTTGTTGTGGTGTTGTCAGTGTTGTTGTGGTGTTGTGCCGTCAGTGTTGTTGTGGTGTTGGTGCCGTCAGCTGTTGTTGTGTTGTGTCAGTGTTGTGTGGTCAGCTGTTGTCAGTGTGGTGTTGTTGTGCCGTCAGCTGTTGTTTGTGGTGTTGGTGCCGTCAGCTGTTGTTGTGGTGTTGGTGCCGTCAGCTGTTGTTGTGGTGTTGGTGCCGTCAGCTGTTGTTGTGGTGTTGGTGCCGTCAGCTGTTGTTGTGGTGTTGGTGCCGTCAGCTGTTGTTGTGGTGTTGGTGGTGCCGTCAGCTGTTGTTGTTGTTGTTGTTGGTGCCGTCAGCTGTGTTGTTGTGGTGCCGTCAGCTGTTGTTGTTGTTGTGTGTGTTGGTGCCGTCAGCTGTTGTTGTGTTGTGTGTGTTGGTGCCGTCAGCTGTTGTTGTGGTTGTGGTGTTGGTGCCGTCAGTGTTTGTTGTTGTGTGGTGTTGGTGCCGTCAGCTGTTGTTGTGTTGTTGGTGTTGGTGCCGTCAGCTGTTGTTGTGGTGTTGGTGCCGTCAGCTTGTTGTTGTGTGGTGTTGGTGCCGTCAGCTGTTGTTGTGGTGTGTTGGTGCCGTCAGTGTTGTTGTGTTGTGGTGTTGGTGCCGTCAGCTGTTGTTGTGTTGTGTGTGTTGGTGCCGTCAGCTGTTGTTGTTGTTGTGGTGTTGGTGCCGTCAGCTGTTGTTGTTGTGTTGTGTGGTGCCGTCAGCTGTTGTTGTTGTGTGGTGTTGGTGCCGTCAGCTGTTGTTGTGTGGTTTGTGCCGTCAGCTGTTGTTGTGGTGTGGTGCCGTCAGCTGTTGTTGTGGTGTTGGTGCCGTCAGCTGTTGTTGTGGTGTTGTGTTGTGCCGTCAGCTGTTGTTGTGGTGTGGTGTTGTGCCGTCAGTTGTTGTTGTGTGTGTTGGTGCCGTCAGCTGTTGTTGTGTTGGTGTTTGTGTTGTGCCGTCAGCTGTTGTTGTTGTGTGGTGTTGGTGCCGTCAGCTGTTGTTGTGTTGACCGTGTGTTGTGTTGGTGTTGTCAGCTGTTTGTGGTGTTGTTGTTGTGGTGTTGGTGCCGTCAGCTGTTGTTGTTGTGGTGTTGGTGCCGTCAGCTGTTGTTGTTGTTGGTGCCGTCATCTGTTGTTGTTGTTGTGTGGTGTTGTGCCGTCAGCTGTTGTTGTGGTGTTGGTGCCGTCAGCTGTTGTTGTGTGGTGTTGGTGCCGTCAGCTGTGTTGTTGTGGTGTTGTGCCGTCAGTGTTGTTGTTCAATGTTGTTGTGCCGTCAGCTGTTGTTGTGGTGTTGGTGCCGTCAGCTGTTGTTGTGGTGTTGGTGCCGTCAGCTGTTGTTGTTGTTGTGGTGTTGGTGCCGTCAGCTGTTGTTGTGTTGTGTTGGTGCCGTCAGCTGTTGTTGTGGTGTTGGTGCCGTCAGCTGTTGTTGTGTGGTGTTGTGTGCCGTCAGCTGTTGTTGTGGTGTTGGTGCCGTCAGCTGTTGTTGTGGTGTTGTTGGTGCCTTCAGCTGTTGTTGTGGTGTTGGTGCCGTCAGCTGTTGTTGTGGTGTTGGTGCCGTCAGCTGTTGTTGTGTTGTGGTGGTGTCCTTCAGTGTTGTTGTGGTGTGGTGTTGCCTTCAGTGTTGTTGTGGTGTGGTGGTGTCCTTCAGTGTTGTTGTGGTGTTGACCTTCAGTGTTGTTGTGGTGTGGTGTTGACCTTCAGTGATGTTGTGGTGTGGTGGTGTCCTTCAGTGTTGTTGTGGTGTTGTGTTGACCTTCAGTGTTGTTGTGGTGTTGCCCTTCAGTGTTGTTGTGGTGTTGTCCTTCAGTGTTGTTTTGTTGTGGTGTTGACCTTCAGTGTTATTGTGGTGTTGTGGTGACCTTCAGTGTTGTTGTGGTGTTGTGTTGACCTTCAGTGTTGTTGTGTTGTGGTGTTGACCTTCAGCTGTTGTTATGTTGTGTGTGTTGACCTTCAATATTGTTGTGCTGTGGTATTGACCTTCAGTGTTGTTGTGTTGTGGTGTTGACCTTCAGTGTTGTTGTGTTGTGGTGTTGACCTTCAGTGTTGTTGTGGTGTTGACCTTCAGTGTTGTTGTGGTGTTGACCTTCAGTGTTGTTGTGGTGTTGACCTTCAGTGTTGTTGTGGTGTTGACCTTCAGTGTTGTTGTGGTGTGGTGGTGTCCTTCAGTGTTGTTATGGTGTTGACCTTCAGTGTTGGTGAGGTGTTGACCTTCAGTGTTGTTGTGGTGTTGACCTTCAGTGTTGGTGTGGTGTTGACCTTCAGTGCTGTTGTGGTGGTGTTGACCTTCAGTGTGGTTGTGGTGTTGACCTTGTTCATTGTGGTGTTGACCTTCAGTGGTGTTGACCTTCAATGTGGTTGTCGTGTTGACCTTCAGTGTTGGTGTGGTGTTGACCTTCAGTGTTGTTGTGGTGTTGACCTTCAGTGTTGGTGTGGTGTTGACCTTCAGTGTTGTTGTGGTGGTGTTGACCTTCAGTGTGGTTGTGGTGTTGACCTTCAGTGTGGTTGTGGTGTTGACCTTCAGTGGTGTTGACCTTCAGTGTGGTTGTCGTGTTGACCTTCAGTGTTGGTGTGGTGTTGACCTTCAGTGTTGGTGTGGTGTTGACCTTCAGTGTTGTTGTGGTGTTGACCTTCAGTGTGGTTGTAATGTGGTGTTGACCTTCAGTGTTGTTGTGGTGTTGACCTTCAGTGTTGTTGTGGTGTTGACCTTCAGTGTTGTTGTGGTGTGGTGCTGACTTTCAGTGTTGTTGTGGTGCTGACCTTCAGTGTTTTGTAGTGGTGTGGTATTGACCTTCAGTGTTGTTGTGGTGTGGTGTTGAGCTTCAGTGTTGTTGTGGTGTTGACCTTCAGTGTTGTTGTGGTGTTGACCTTCAGTGTTGTTGTGGTGTGGTGCTGACTTTCAGTGTTGTTGTGGTGCTGACCTTCAGTGTTTTGTAGTGGTGTGGTATTGACCTTCAGTGTTGTTGTGGTGTGGTGTTGAGCTTCAGTGTTGTTGTGGTGTGGTGCTGACTTTTAGTGTTGTTGTGTTGTGGTGTTGACCTTCAGTGTTGTTGTGTTGTGGTGTTGACCTTCAGTGTTGTTGTGGTGTTGACCTTCAGTGTTGTTGTGGTGTGGTGGTGTCTTTCAGTGTTGTTGTGGTGTTGACCTTCAGTGTTGGTGTGGTGTTGACCTTCAGTGTTGTTGTGGTGTTGACCTTCAGTGTTGGTGTGGTGTTGACCTTCATTGTTGTGGTGGTGTTGACCTTCAGTGTGGTTGTGGTGTTGACCTTCATTGTGGTTGTGGTGTTGACCTTCAGTGGTGTTGACCTTCAGTGTTGTTGTGGTGTTGTGTTGACCTTCAGTGTTGGTGTGGTGTTGACCTTCAGTGGTGTTGACCTTCAGTGTGGTTGTAATGTGGTGTTGACCTTCAGTGTTGTTGTGGTGTTGACCTTCAGTGTTGTTGTGTTGACCTTCTGTGTTGTTGTGGTTTGGTGCTGACTTTGTGTTGTTGTGGTGCTGACCTTCAGTGTTTTGTAGTGGTGTGGTATTGACCTTCAGTGTTGTTGTGGTGTGGTGTTGAGCTTCAGTGTTGTTATGGTGTGGTGCTGACTTTTAGTGTTGTTGTGTTGTGGTGTTGACCTTCAGTGTTGTTGTGTTGTGGTGTTGACCTTCAGTGTTGTTGTGGTGTTGACCTTCAGTGTTGTTGTGGTGTGGTGGTGTCTTTCAGTGTTGTTGTGGTGTTGACCTTCAGTGTTGGTGTGGTGTTGACCTTCAGTGTTGTTGTGGTGTTGACCTTCAGTGTTGGTGTGGTGTTGACCTTCATTGTTGTGGTGGTGTTGACCTTCAGTGTGGTTGTGGTGTTGACCTTCAGTGTGGTTGTGGTGTTGACCTTCAGTGTGGTTGACCTTCAGTGTTGTTGTGGTGTTGTGTTGACCTTCAGTGTTGGTGTGGTGTTGACCTTCAGTGTTGGTGTGGTGTTGACCTTCAGTGTTGTTGTGGTGTTGACCTTCAGTGGTGTTGACCTTCAGTGTTGTTGTGGTGTTGACCTTCAGTGGTGTTGACCTTCAGTGTGGTTGTAATGTGGTGTTGACCTTCAGTGTTGTTGTGGTGTTGACCTTCAGTGTTGTTGTGTTGATCTTCAGTGTTGTTGTGTTTACCTTCAGTGTTGTTGTGGTGTGGTGTTGACCTTCAGTGTTGTTGTGGTGTGGTGTTGACCTTCAGTGTTGTTGTGGTGTGGTGTTGACCTTCAGTGTTGTTGTGTTGTGTTGACCTTCAGTGTTGTTGTGGTGTTCTGTTGATCTTCATTGTTAAGTTGTGGTGTGGTGTTGACCTTCAGTGTTGTTGAGTTGTGGTGTTGACCTTCAGTGTTGTTGACCTTCAGTGTTGTTGCGGTGTTGACCTTCAGTGTTGTTGTGGTGTTGTGTTGACCTTCTGTGTTGCTCTGCTGACCTCCGTGTCAAGAGACAGGTTGAAGTGTAGTGCTGGGGTGTAGTTGAACATAGGTGGCACAAGTAAATAATTATCAACAGAAAATGCACCAAGCCGGGGATGCTATGTAGCACCGTCAAATGTGCGAGATACTCAAATGGCTCAACTGATCACTAAGGATGATAATACGAGAACAAAACCGCATAAGGCGAACAACATCAAAGTCATCCGATTCACCAACAATTCTATCGAGTGACAAGTGACTACGAAGGACGGTCGGGAAGCAAGACACACGCTCGTCCTCGAAGGAGCAGGGCGGTGCTCCATTAAGTTCCCGTGAGTTAAACGTGTATGACCAATATGTAAGCTCGCCAGAACCGTTTCCCACCGCCGGTTACAGTGGTAGGAGGAAGGCCACGGGGACATGCTACCCTTAAGAGCACACAGTTTGTTACCAGTAACAGAAGACCAGCGATCCTGCTAACGGGCAAGGATGGAGGAATGAATAACTGGGTAGCGTCTGCAAGTTCATTCAAGAGCATGCACCAATATGGCTGGGTGGGAACCTAGCAAAACTCCACTGTCATAAACCTGCTGGTGATGCGAAACAGCCAATATTGAGTTTCGACGACCACAGGATGGACAGGATTAATGGACTCCAAAATCATGAGAGCACTGCGAGAGTCAACGCCAACAACAGGAAGATTGACGGAGAGAAAGCAGTTGACAAAGAGCATACAAAATGGCATAAAGTTCAGCCGTGAAGATGCTAGTCTACGGGGGCAGGAGACACATAGAGGTGTGGTCAGGAAACACAATGGAGTAGCCTATACCGTCAGCAGACTTAGACCCATCATGACGGAGATCAAGCGGTAGTGTCAAGAAAAGTGAACAAGGAAAAAGCGTTTCAGATCTGTAGGAGGGGTAAAAACCTTAGTCATGCGGGTGAAGGTTCTACAAAACTTAGGAAAAGGGACCCTCCATGGAGGCAAAGAGGGAACGACATGAGGAGAAGTATTGGTAACACAACCCAAGAGAGAACCTTGCAAGTGAGACAATCGTACAGAAAGGGAAAGGTGGTGAAAGGGAACATAGCCTATAGGAGGAGTAATGATCGTAGTATAGTATAAGTGAGAGACTGGGTGTTGTAGGAACCGCGCAAATTAGTGAAGACAGTAACGATCACGGCGATCCTGCAGAGACAAAATGCCGGTGTCAACATACAGGCTGATAGTAGGAGTTGAACAAAAGGCACCAGAGCCGAGGTGTAGCCCAGTATGGTGCAGAGCATCAAGCCAGCGAAGAGATGAGGGAGAGGCAGACGAGTAAGCAGGACAACCATAATCGAGTTTAGACAGCACGAGAGAGGAATGTAAAGAGAGGAACGTGCGCCAATCAGCTCCCCAGTAAGTATGGGACAAGACCTTAAGTAAGTTAAGGTCCAACTTAAGTTAGAAAAGATTAACCCCAGAAGTTTAGCAGAATCCTTATACGAAAGAGGATTATCATATAGCGACAGAGGGGGTCGAATGACGATTGGCTTCAGAGTAATGTTCATAACACGTCTTAGCCGGAGAGAACTTGAAGCCATGATTGGTGGCCCAGGACGACACGACATCAATCGCAAGTTGAAGCCGCCATTAGAGGAAAGGAGAGTCATCACCTGTATAGCAGAGATCGTCAACATAGACAGCTGAGGAAATTCAAGAGGGAAGGGAGGAGAGAAGACCATTGAGGGCAACCAGGAACAGAGTAGTGCTCAGAACACTACCGTGGGATACACCTTCGTATTGCCGAAAAGAGGCACAGAGAGTGGTACCAAGCTCATTCTAAAGGAACAATTAGAAAGGAAGCTCTGGAGGAAGAGAGGGAGATTATCATGAAAGCCAAAAGAACGGAGTTAGGACAGAATATGGAATCGCCAGGTGGTGTCATATGCCTTTTCTGGGTCAAAAAGATCAGCAATCATGAGGTCTTCGCAACAAAGACAGTAAGAATATAGACCTCCAAGTTCACCGAGACATCATTTATGCTGCGACACTTGTAAAAGCCACTTTGAGAAGGGAGGAGGTGGTGATAGTGTTCCAAGAACCACATCAGACTGACATTAACCATACGTTCAAAGAGTTTGCAGACGCAACTTGTGAGAGCAATGGGGCGGAAGTCTTTAGGAGATTACCCTAGAAAACCTGGTTTCTAGATATAATGAACAACTGCCTCAAGCTGGTCCTCAGGGACTGACAACGACTCTCAGACACGGTTATAAACATTAAGTAAATACTGAAACGTGCGTGGAGAGAGATGGAAAAGCATCTCATAATGAGTATCATCCAAGCCTGCCGCAATAGACCCACAGAGGGACAGGGCAGACTGGAGTTCTGTGAGAGAGAAAGGATCGTTATAGGAAAGCCAAAGATAAGTGCGAAAATCTAATGACCCTCAGGAATTATGTTTGGTCAGAGAGGATGAGGTTCATTTTTGCAAAATAATCGTCTCTTTTTTATGATGACGTATATTGGTGACTTGTCGTCTTTCCTTACTACCACCTCCTTGTTATCACGGTGGCTCTTTGCTGCCGCTCTGAGCTCTAGGGGTCTGTGTAGTGCTCTTGTATCTACCTCGGGTCTTCCCTCTTTCCGCGATCAGTTCAGCTTGCAGAGTGTCTTTGGTGGTTACCTTCCTTTGGTTCTCGGGCTGAGTATATCATCTAGTAGGATTTCCAACTCTACTTTCCAGGTCCTGAGTCACGCGGGATACAACAGCCGCATTAAAGATAGTCATCATCTTTTCTTGGCTATAAGACTTTCACTGCTTTCTTGATTTCAGCCACTGTCCACAAGTTTTCAGTCTGACTTTTTAGGAGAGTTTGCACTGCTTCTCTAGAGTCAGTGCAGATCATTGCTCTTTTTGTTTCATTCCAGATACCTTAATGCCATAATAACGGCAGGGTGCACTGCTTGTGTTGAGGAAGTGTGGATCTCAATCAGTAATTTTCCTCATTTTAGTTTTGAAATCAGTTATCTCTGATTTCAGAGTACACTGTTCCAGCCCTGCCATTAGTTGGGTTAGCAGAGCCATCAGTGTTGATTTGATCTAATTAATTTCCTGCTATCCTATTAATTGCCTAGATATATGTGTGTGTGTGTCTCATTTCTTTAGGTAACATTCAGAACTTCTTCACTGTCTTCTCTTATATTTGAGTCTATCGTATATGCACACGTTCAACTCATGAGATTGCTCAAGCAGGTCGAGTTCTTCGAGAAAGGATACTGATAGGTTTTGTAATTTTTTGGGTTTACAGTGCTGAGTATTGTCTTGGCACTGTTATTAGGTGGAGTTCTCTTCAGTTAATTGCAGTTTTATTATTCTTTAGTCATGTGGGTCAAGGTTGACCCCGCATGACTAATATGGTATCTGATTCTTCCCATTTTCCTTCCCTCTCTTTCTTAACCCCTCTTCCATTTCCAGGGGCACACGGGGTTAACAGGCATGGTGATGGCAGGAAAAACCATTCTCCCAGCACGGGCTGTAATGTACTAACCTCACTCGGAAGAATTCACGGTTCACTGGAAAACAATTGCTAAACACCTACCTATTCTCCACACACGTAGCTTTAGGCTAATGGATGATGACAGATGGTGGAGATAAATAAGGATGATCCCGGGGCAGTCTGTTGCACTCTGCTGGATATTGTGTGGAGATACACTTTATATCTCTCGATTATCACTCGTATATTTTTTATTTCGATCTCGCACGAGCCCGGATTCTGTAGACGGACACGTGAGACGAAACGTAGATGACGAGATAAGCTTAAGGTCGCGTTTAGATGGTGTTCCTGGTTGCTGGCCGACAGCTATGGAATTCACATCTCGGCAGGTGTAGCGACGACCTCAGAATGTGGGACAGTGCGGGCAGCGGCCTAACCTGGCGGCTACACACACTCTTGTCCCTTTGTTCTTTAAAAGAACCGATCAGCGACCAGGCATGTAGTACCTAATCCAATCGGGGCCTACCCTCGGGTGGCATGATGCTCGTGACGTCACTGGAGGAGACCTGTGTTTACACGGTAGTTGGAAAAGGTCTTGACCTGGCGACCACATCCTTTCTTCTACTGTTCTCTCTATATACACATTGCTGTAACTTTCTTATGCTGGCACCCACAATGGCCATTGTGGTGCCAACGGACAGTTGTTGACATACGCTGTCTCTCAATACCCAACAAGGCATACCTATGTTTCATAATAATGACACTAGACTTGGTGCACTCTCCCTGTTCACTCAGTAGAATAAAACTAAAAAAAAAAAAAACTCTGGGAGGAAGCAAAATGGTGGTGTGCCCTCTACATCACTAATTTTTAAGATAGCTGGAATCCGTTCCTTCTCAGGGATACTGTCTATTCTCACTTTGATATTCTCACACATCTGGACACTTGATCATTCATCATAAGCTTCGGCATCCCTCGGGGGAGTCCCTGGGGAGCATAATGATGGTGACGTCTAGTGATGGACGCCACATGAGTGCCCTGCCACATATATTAACACAAACACTTAGGAATCTTGACTCGGAGCACAGTTACACCACCTTGATTTGGGATGGAGGTTTCATATGAACTGGGTCTAAGTATTGAAATATAGAAAGAGACGCATCAGAGGTAGAACTACTGGAAGACAGAGCCAGAGTGCATGGGGGGATTTGTGTGAAACCCTGTTTCAGCTTCAGTGGAAACCTCGGAAAGCCTCGAGGGTGCAGCAGTACCCCCGATTACAATTCTTATGACCATGTCGTGGTGTAGACGGTTAGAGCGTGCATCTGGGAATACCCGTTGCATAGATTCGAATCCTCATCAAGGCTCCTGTGGATTTTCTCATTGATAAATCACAAAAATGGGATTTCTGTGTAATAATTGTAATTATAGTACAACAATATTACTGATATTAATACTATAAATAATATCAGGATGAACTGTGTTTAGTGAGATTATAATAAGCGAAGTGTGATGTTACAGTGGGTGGCGGCAGTGAGTCTGCTAGCCGTCAACGCCGTCTTCACGATGTCGTCGGACTCCTCCATC